GTGTCTTTAGGTTATGTTGCTATTGTATGTCTGATAATGTCAATATTAGTAAGCTTAGATTTTTAGGATTTTCTTAACTCTAGGGCCGTTAAGTTATCTTGGTATTTTGACATTATCGGAGATAACCTTGAAATCAAGCTTGACTACGAATATTAAAATGCAAATTTTTAGGTTAGGTTATGTTGCTATTTTATGTCTGATAAAGTCAATATTAGTAAGCTAAGATTTTCAGAGTTAATCTTAAAAGTGAGGTTAGTTTAAGAAATGTAATGTAATGTTAGGTTTTTCGACTACAAATATTAAAATGCAGATTTTTAGGTTAGGTTATGTTGCTATTTTATGTCTGATAATGTCAATATTGGTAAGCTAAGATTTTCAGAGTTAACCTTAAAAGTGAGGTTAGTTTAAGAAATGTAATGTTGAACTAGGTTAGGTTTTTCGACTACAAATATTAAAATGCAGATTTTAGTAAAATATGAAATCATTTCAAAAATCATTATAAAGTAAATTTTTAAATTTGTTTCTGTACATTAAACATTCGCATATATTTTTATATAAATAAAAATGAAATAGTTTCAAACTTAGAAGGTTAGGTGAAACTAAATATTTGGTTTGGTAAAGTTACGTTATGTGCAGTAAGATTAGGTAACTCTACATTACAGATATATTAAGTTTAATTAATTTTAGGTTAAGTTAAGTAAGGTTATGTTGTACGTCTAGATCAGCGACGTGATCAATTTTTAGAACATTATGAAAATAAGTGAACTACATTAAAAATAACAGTCGTCCCACATTACCGAAATTCCATTTGGTAATTGTTAACATTGTATATTCGCATTTAAAGCATTACGGATTTCGTCGGTTGCGCAACGAGCCGAACGTTTCAGCTACATGCAGTGGCGGCGGCGGTGGCCAAAAACGTGCGAAATAATGACCGCATTTTACGACTTGAAAACTGCGCTAAATCATAATTCACGAAGTGGACAGCGACCCAGAGAAGCAGACAATTCTTCCAACCTATAAATGATCACTCTCTCTTTCTCTCTCTCATTTATAAACTACGATTATGCAAGTGAACACGTGCAGTCGAATAATTCGCGTCTCGAATTGACGTTTCCGAAAATAATTCGCAGATCGAGAAAAACCCTTTCGAAATGCAGTTTTTCGCATGAGCCATGAACAAAACAAAAAAAAGACAAAATTAAATAAATCATATAAATAACTGCTGCGGCTATTTATAAACTCTAGCACACTCGAGTTAATATTCAAGTGGCGATGCTAAAAATAATGCCTGCAATAATTTGCAAGAAGAAAGGAATATCATCGATACGTGCATGTGCGTAACACAACAAAAGGAGGAAGAGAGCAGAAATAAATTATAAAAAAGAAAATATAATGGGGAAGAAGGCGGCGGCGGCGGAGGATCGTGAGGCGACACATACAACTTGTGTCTGTGTTGTGTTACGCAATTTACGATGCGATCGGCGCGAGCGAATGACGTGCCAACAACGTTTTGTTTGTATTTCGTCCTTGAATAATATGGACTTCTGTTGCTGCTGCTGCTGCTGTTGATTTCGTTCTTTTCTCATACTTCAAATGTGCGGAATTGCACAGAAAATTATAATGGCTCGGACTCGTTTCGCAGGTCCACTTTTTGGGTTTAACATTCATTAAAAGGAACGTGACTTGTTTAGTGAATATTGAACCATTTGAAGCGGCGAAACCGAAGGATAACCTCCGCATACATTCCTTTTTTTGTTTGTTTTTGTTTATAGTTTTATTCAATTATGCACAGCTCTCTTGAGGAGATTCCATTTTAGATAAAACGTTACAGAAAGTCTTAGATTTACATGGGAGTAGTCCTTTGAGACTTGAGCAATTGCAACTATTCCAATACAATTGGACCTTAATCCTTTTATTGTCCTAGATATGAGTAATTTCAATTCCAAGGACTATTTACTAAGAAAATTGATCATTTTTATCTATTCCACACTTATTAATCAATTCTGGTTAAGTTAAATCAAAATTGAAAAAAAAAACTATGTTCCTGTATGTTTGCAGATTCGATAATAGGATATGAGATCATTATTCGTGGATAATTCCGGTGTTTGTGTTTGGTTTGTAAGTGCAAGAAAACTGAATCATCTCGCTGACAAATTGGACGAACAGCGAACAGCAGAAATGCAAATGATGCCATTAAAATTTTAACGGTTCCGCACTTATTATTTCCATGCGATGAATGCGCGACTTTTCCATAAGCGAAAATGCAAATCCACCATTATTATACGAAATAATTCCATTATGCAACACGAAAAATTATGCATTATGAATCAACATTTGACAATGTTTCATTAATTATTTTTTTATTATACGTTTGTAATATCCATTTAAAGTTCATTACGAATTAACATTAACTATTGTGAATAACATTATTATTAAAAACTAACATAACCTAACCTCAGTTGCAGCGAATCAAAACAAAATGTCGTCCATTTCCAACAGCTGATTTTGACGTTTAAATCAATCACAACTGACGTTATTTCTAGTTTTATAAAATTAATTGATTTTATTACGTTTAATTGAATTACAATTATTATTAACATTTATTAGTTAACATTTACTGAAATTATTTCATTTTTTATTTTTAAGTTTCATAATTATTTGAGCAACAAAATGTATCTACAAATTTGATGGATTGCAACATTAAGTAAGGTAATTATGAAGTGAACAAATTAATGAAACGAGAAAGTTGATGATGTTGATCCGAATAGAAACACGATCGCGCATTGTTAGCTCTAAATTGAGTTTAAAGACGGTGTATATACATTGCTTCATCGACATCTGGTACAACAATTAAGAGTTCTTTGAAGAGAGGCGCGTGTGAGATGCACGCGCACGTCGTCTCATCCACTACCACCTCTTCTTAACAACTTGCGCAATCATCTAAATAATGGATGAGAGTCCGATTCCAAGATTTCCATTCGAAGCAGCGTTTTCCCCGGATTTATTTTTAATTGTGACCAGCACAACACATGCGATTAGAAAGGATTTGTGTAAAGAAGTATTCAAAGGACATAAATATCATCATCATCTCGATTCTTGTAATTCCAATACGGTTTATGTGTTAATCTGTTTTTCAACGCTTTTCAAAAGTATTTAGTTATTGCCATAGAAGGCATCTGTATTCCGAATCAACCGCATTTTGTGTACGAGTATTCGTGTCTGCATTGCAATGCCGTAACAGTTATTTTCGGATATTGCCGAAAAAGATGGATAGAATAATAGATACATTTGCCAAGTTATTCGCCAGCTTCCCGAGTCCCGAGTTCTTTTTTTAGGACGCCCAAGGAAGTGCATATTTCTGTTAACAACAACAAAAAAAAATGCATCGATTCGTTCCTCTTTTGTCGCTTTTGTACGCCCACCGTCACTCTGTAATTCTGTTACGTCAGTTTCGGTCGCAATTTATCACACAGAAATAGAACGATGGGTAAATGCACCGGGTTTTAACCTTTACAGAAAGGGGTTGCATCGCGACGCCTGCGAACGAAACAAAAAAACAAAAACAAAATCGATACAAAACAAATGCGACGTATTCGTTGAGTTCCGCTAGGATCGGTTCTAGGTCCTAAATTCGATGAACAGCTACAGCAACAACAAAGAAACTGGAATAATTACGTTTATTTCGCGAAATTGTCGTAATTACACTCATTTCGCTCGTATTTGGAAACGAAACGTTGCGTCATCATCGCAAGTGTTTCCATCCATTTGCGGCGGTAATTAGCAAATGGGTTGCACGAAGAAGATGTTGCTCGAAACAAACGTAAACGGATCTTTGCGAGAATTGAAATGTTGATGGCATTGTGATGAAATCCATTGATTCAGGCCAGATGAGACGAATGATTGCGTAATTAATCGTACAGAAACAATGTTGCTTTAAATATTACAAGAGAAGAAGCGCACTTTTTATGTGAATAAAGCTGCGGCGTCGGCGTCGGGACGCCCATATGTTTAATGCCATTAACCCACATTCAGACCGTGTTAACAACAACAAGTGGTTCCTCCCTTCTCGTCTCTCCCAAACCCGAATTAATAACGCATTAACCCACACGTATTTATACGTTGTTACGTGTAAATAAATTACGCTATTTACGTGCATCGATAAACAATAGCAATAATGACGATGGGAATTGCTGGATTGGGATCAATTGAGTTCCATTTAAAAACACATTTCCATATGCTTTCTATTACAATTACAATTATATATATATATATATACAATTGTATGTGAGCATTTTCCAATGTTTTATTGGTGAGCAATAACGATAATTGATTGCCTCGCTTCGATTTCGTCCTCGCCGTCATTAATCTTTATATAAATATACAATTTTCTATGTGAATTACCCTTTTTTATTTTGATATTTTAAGGTTAGGTTAAAATCAAAATGTCTTCCAAAACAATCAGCTGATTTTTATAGTTATATTTTTAATGAAAATAAAACAATTTTCAAAATGATTACTATAGAAACTAATTATTAATTAAAAACAATCCGCCTTTAATGACATTTTAATTAATTTTGACAAGTGACATAAACAAAATGACATTTGAATATAAGGTTATGCAACAATGTAACAAATTGATTTTAAATTTAGGTTAGGTAAAAATTGAAAACAAATAAAAGCACTATTATTCTCTCCCATTTCCTTCTATAATTATTTAACTATTAAAATAATTTACAATGAAAAAATATCTGTATGTACTTTTTTTTCTTTGTAAATATAATATTTTCCTTCAAATTCCTAGAAATAATTAAAAGAAGTTTTAGGAATTTAGCAGCAATAAAACTTAGGGTTTTATTGGTAGGTAGATAGGTAGGTTTTATTGATCTTAAGGTTATGTATATATAAAAGATGCTGCAGTTTTTGATTTTCATTCATTTCAAACGATAAGCTTTCAGAGTGCACATCTATACTTTATTTTGAAAACTTTATAAAGAAACATGAACTTTTTCGCTAAGAAAGTCGTAATGGTAAGATTTTTTTTTTTGTATTTTTGTAACTTTTGATTAAATAATTTTGGTTTATTTTGTTTATAGGATCAAGAGAAATGCGAGGATTTCATCAAAACAATACTCGCTCCTTGCCATTACCAAATATCTATATACCAATTAGATGATGAGTTTGAGGAGTTAACAGGAATCGGCATCCCTTTCAGCTATTTCGGTTACACAACGTTGAGAGCTTTCTTAAAGTCAATGGAAATGTTGAAGGTAAGCAATTCAGTTTAATCTAAATTTTTTCTAATTTTGTAATTTTGCAGATTTCCGAATACGATTGCGTGAAATTAGTGGATACGAAGAAGCCAGAAACTAGGAGAGACAACAATCAAAATAATGAAGAAGTTACAGTGTTAAAGTTGACACAAACAAACGTGTTGTTTGTGCAGAATTACGAAAAAATGATCAAACCGTACGAAACTAAAGATTCGAAGATGTGGAAGTGGTTGGATGAAGTGGACAAGCACGAATTCGAGCAACCGAGAAATGATGAAAAGTTCAATGGAATTTTCAAGGTTTTCAAAAAGTTGATTAGAAGAAATTCGCGCGTTTAATTACACACTTTTTCTAACAACAACAATTATATAACAGTATTACGAAATGGCTATGAATTAAAATAAATTATTACATTTTTTTTTTTTGCAAAATTCCAGCGTTTATTTGTGGAACATTTAGAGTTAATTCTTCAGAAATAAATGTTCGCATTCCCGAGGAAATCTATTTCAAGAGGTATCGTTTTCAACCATTTATCAAAATCAATTAGTTGTATTTTCGTCGCGGTCATTGGAATTCTGCATTTATTATAAACGTGAATGTTTTAGACGTATTTTTAGATTTTTCACGTAAATTAAAGGACTGCAAATGAATAAAATATTTCAGTTTTGTATAAACTTTCATAATTTCTATTAAATCATTGATTGAATTCAATTTTTCGATATAATTTACATAAATTTTGTTGATAAATTGATCGAATCCAATATCACATTTAAACCAGTTCGAAATGCTATATTATAGGCAGAATGTGAAATAAATTACGAATTTGTGGTCGAAACATAACGATTGTTGAGGTGAAATTTGTAAACAACAACAAAAAATTATATGAAAATTAATGTTGCGCTCGGAATATTCCGATTTAATTTAATTTTGAAACGATTCCAACGGATTCGCTTTATAAACTAAAGCCTCGAACTATTGCAAAATGTGTAATTAATGGCAACGCACATACACACTAAAATCTGTACACAAAAGAGCGCTAAATTATGAAACGTGATTTACTATCAAAACACGTATCGCATTAAATCCTGGATCATCCATAAAACAATGCAATTTGTAATTGATATACAGTTACTAAAATTGTACAATTTATAATGAGCCACCGGCAAATTTTGTATTAATTACTTGAAGCTTTCACAACTTCATTCAACTTTAAAACCGATCATTTCAAAGGGATTTCCAACTTATTTATGATAACAGGAAAGACGAGAGGCGAAGAAACTTTATGGGCATGGTTTTTCCAGAAAATTGATGGAATGACCTTTAATATTTTTCAGGTAATCATAATACAAACTATGAATTCTGCAAGTTTCTTTTTTCATTAATTTTAATTTATATCTTAATTCTATATTCAGATATAATTTTTCTATTCACTAAAATGTAAAATTTTCATTGATAGTTTCGATAAAATTCAATAAAAAAATTAGGGGAAAAAAAATTAAAATTTCATATGGTATCTTAACTTTGACAGCGAGTTACTCGATTAGTTTTTGAGTCTTAACTAATTACTAAAGCGTCATTAATTCTCTACAGTTTTAGCTTTAATTTGCACATGATAGTTTTCTCTGCTATTCATAGTTTTTAAGAAATCGTGAAAAAATAATATTAACGAATAATAAAAAATTCTGCAAAACGATTCTCTCCAAATTTTTTGTTCGACACTAAATCTTAAACCTTGATATATTTTGCGATTCGCATATGATTTGCGCTTTATAAACAACCAAATATGTGGACTGAATAAGCGTAGTATTTAAAATATTGTTTGTTATTTAATATTTATTTTGTGCAAAGTGATAATTCGACGAGAAAAGTGTGTGTTTTTATACAAATAAATAGTTGTTAAATTGGTGTAATTCTTTAAGGGAATTAGAATTATTTTATAAATCATCTTCATAAACGAATCAGAAGCAACGATGAACATTATTTCATCCAAAAATGACGACAACAAATACCGAAAAACTGTGAGTTTTCAAAAAAATTCGTACCGAAAAATATTTTTTTTCTTAACCGCTTTTTCTTCTTCAGTATTATTATAATAAGCAGAGCAATCGAAACTCGAAAAAGATTGTGTACAGCGATCATATTCTCAAACAGATCGAGGAATTACATGAGCAGAGACGACGATCTTTGGGTGATTTCAAGAAGTTGAAGCGAGACGCCGAAAACGAATTCGCGCTGAAAAACTACGGACTTGACGAGATCGACATTGATCCGCTTTTAAATAGGATAGAAATCTACATAGATTTCATGAACAACAAACTGATTGAGAATGACGCAACAGACGTGGTGGATAACAAATGCGTATCGTGTGACCAAACAAAAAAACTTTGCAACTGCTACCAACTTAAAAGTTATTTCAGGAAAAGATATTTTTGAAATTGAAATCGCTTCAATTTGTCTTCTGAAATTTATTATTGAATTGATCTATTTCCAAACCTACTTGTTCTATGTTTGACTATTTAATATTTATATGTAAATTCGTTCGAAAATTTCTATTTAATCAAGAAATGAGGTAAACATTTTTCTTAGTTTTACAATTAGTTGTTTATTCTTGTCTTTTTAAACTATCATTAATTATATTTCTATACACTAAATCTAAATGTATATTGTGTAATTCGTACAAAACAAAATCATTTTGTACGAAAAATTGCAATATTGTCAAAAAAAATAAATATATATTTTTACAACAGATTTCGTTTGAAAAATTCCATTATTTCTCTGTTTCCTTTCCTATTATTAACAGTTTTATCGATATGAAGGGCGAGTAAGAAAAAAAAAGCAGAGACCGTTAATAATTAGATTCAATTTCAAGATTTGTTGCGAAACGAATCAATATAGAAAGAAAGAAAAAGTTGATTTAGGTCGTTTCTTTCTTTCCCTCTTGTTTCTTACAATAAATACATTTAGTATTTCTGCAAATAGGGAGGAAATAGACTCTGAACGAAGAAGAAAGATGAAATCAGTTAATAATAATTTAAAAAAAAAACTCAATTTCAGAATTTATCTGAAAAAAATATTTTTGTTGTTTACTAATTTTTTTGACAATCAAAACTTTAATTATAAAGTTTACTAATTTAGAGTAATTTCATTCAATTGTTAAACAAAAATTGAAAAAAAAGATGCATTACTTTCTTCGCAAAAATTTTACAAATCAATTCTGTAGATATTCGGATTTTCACGTTGAAATTGAGTCACGCACGAGTCAAAGGGATTCTCGTTCGAATGATCTAGTGCAGTTTCACTTTTCCCTGAAAAGTTTATATTATTTTTTCACTCACTCTCACCAAAAAAAACGAAGAGAAACGTTCGTCTTGGGATTCGAAAAAAAAGGAAAGAATTCTATAGACGTGAACTACACACGTTTCATGCAGCTCTCAAACTTTAACTTAAGCCAACAACAAGAAAGAAGGTAACTTTCCATCTAGTAAAATATTTATAAAAAAACAAAAGAAGAAAGGGAGAAAAAAAGCCTACTTTGTTTTTGAAATATACAGGAAAATTCGAATATTTGTCCTTTGAAATGCGCAAAATGCACGTGGAAATTATAAATTAAAAGCGTATTTATTAGTCATCTCCACCCTCTATATCTCTCTTTGTGTGCTTTTAATAGCCGGGGAAGCCTCGAAATAGCATTTTGGTAATAATTGTTCGTTGCTAATTGAATGAGATTGAAATTGGCTATGACCTAGAATTATTATTTTAATACGTCGAGCATACAGAGTATATATATTTTTTATATCATTATTTCGAATTCCATTTAATAAACCCCAAATTAAACCTGTCCGAATGAAAGGAGGGAATATTCGCGAAATTCGGCAAATTTAATTAATAAATCCCGTTGCCGCTGTTTAACCATCCGCTGCTAATCAATTATAATTAGCATCATTTCATTCAATCACTAAATATTTAGGATGGAAATCGCATTTTCAATACGAAAATCGCAACCAAAAACATTAGTATTATTATCAACTGCTCGAAAAAGCAGTGTTTTTACATTTCATTGAATTCAACTATAATACATAGAATGAATCCAAAAGATGCATATGAAAGCTGAATGTTTGGGGAATCTAGCAAGTATCGATATATTACTGTGGTTTTAGCCGTTTGACTGTAATTCGTGTTCAAATTTGAAAAAATGCTCGAAAAAGCAGTGTTTTCACATTTCATTGATTTCCTCGAAAACTATACTAGATAGAATTAATCTAAAAGATACATATGAAAGCTGAATGTT